ATCAAACAAGAACAACTACACAACTACAGTATATTATATAAATTTATAATATTATGTTTATCACGATGCAGGTGATAATAACAAATTATAATGATAAGACAAAATAATGGTATAGACCACGGACTATAATTATTTACATAGATATTAGTCGGTGAAATCACGTGGTATAGTCTGGTATAGACAATGAATGTTGTGGACGAGGGATAAAAAAATTTTTCCGGTGATAAGATCAAGTATCAACTRAGAAACTCGAGAAAGTAAGAAATTAAGAACTAAGAAGGCACATTTTCAAATATCTATCGTCTGTGCGACTGTGCATGCTGAATGTTATTTAATACTTACTAYCGTAGTATAAGTAGTATGTATCCAATTGATCTAACTACTCGACCATTACACTGGTATCAATTAAAAAAACTAGATAATTTTTAATAATACTGACTTATTTTGTTGTAAAATAAATGACTGGCTAGCCAACAGTCACCATAGTTATAATAATACTTAATAGTGTCATTACACAGAATGAATATTTTCACTACTTTATGTGCTAATAAGTACCGACATTATAGTACATTAATAAAATATCACAGGTATTCCAGGTTTYTTGATAAATTATTATTGTTTTAAAATTGTATTTTATGTATTTTGTTGTTTAGTATCTATACAGCGTAATTTAATTATAATATTTCATCAATAGGCTATTTTGTATTTTATATTTTTAATTTTATGTTGATTTTGAATTTATAGGTATGGCAGACCAAAATTTACTTCTTTAGTTATGCAGAAGAGATTTAAAAAGGATGATAATTTATCTACTCTATTTGTCCCAGTACCTGTAAAACCAAATCCAGATGATATAAATGTTGGTGTTGAACTTACTGGTAGATTGAATAAAGGCGATCTTTTAAAAGTACTAAATCGGTTTTATCAGAAACCCGAAATTAAACAGTTAGCTTTAGAGAATGGATTAGATAGTAAGATATTTTTATACATTTTACTAAATCATAGACATAAAAAGATCTCATATATATGGATCAAACTCAATTCACATTATAGTTATTATGTTTTAGATTATTTGCAACACCAAGCATACATAAGTTTTAGAAGATATTGTCTTGAAGCTAATACATTGCCTGTGGATCTTCATGTGGTGATAAGTGATATTTTACAAGGAGCTGGACATGTGGATGATATACTTCCATATTTCTTGAGACATGCAAAACAAATGTTTCCACATCTTGAATGTATGGATGATTTAAAGAAAATAAGCGATCTTCGATCACCTGCCAATTGGTTAGTTTATTTTATTTCAATACAGCTGCTAAAAGGATAAAAATTAACTTATTTTTAGTAAAAAATGTTGTAAAAATACTTATAATTCTTATTTAATTACTTTCTTAGAAAATACAAATATTARGCACTTTTTCGTCATCCTGACTGGTGAGTCTCAAATCTTAATCCTATTATCTCAAATACCACTCCGATGCCGCATAATTTTCCAGTCAAAAATTCCTTTGTTGCCGACTGCAGTCATTTCAGTCTTCTATACTATTAAAAGCTAGTTTTGTGGTATCTAACTTTGAAGATCTGCTAAATTGAGAAATTAAAAGCATAGAAGAACTAGACAATGGTTGTCAAAAATAATATGATAGAATAAGGCTTGTCTGGAGACTTCTGTTAAAAATCCAATATATCAGTTGTGTTTTTATCACCTCCCATAAGAACATTCAGAACCCATGTAAAATTTATTTTGAATCGCTTCTGATTATTTTGAGGTGATAATAATATGTATCATGCTTATGTAAATGACAACTCACATTTATTGTGTGACGGACTTATAAAGTCAAAGCTATAACGGAAATTTGACTCGCTGCATCAAGTGGTAGTCAGGATAATGGAAAAGTACCCAAAATAATTAAACTGCTAATAATTACTTCTAGTTTTCAAGTAATTTCTATAATGTTAAGAGGATGTTATACCTGCATGTGTTGTGTCCGCCTTACAAGTACGTAACATACCAATTTTTACGCTCAGCAGAACACGTGTAGCTCTGTTAGCTTAAAATTCATAGTGAATTGACCTCCTATAAAAATTAAAGGTAACATTATTATCGAGGCTTATGATTATATTTTRATTTTAAAGCAAGTTATAAGATATACAAATAATTTACAATTTTAAAATACTCATAACTCGCTTTAAAATTAAAATATAATAAAAAGCCCATGAGAAGCCTTTGATAAATTACCTTTAATTTTTATAAGAGGTAAATTCACTCTAAATTTTAAATTAACAGAGCTACATGTGATCTGCTGAGCGTACAATTTGCTATGCTACGCATTTGTAAGACAGAGACAACACAAGAGGTATAACGTCCTCTTAAACTATATATTAGGGAAAATTAAGTTTTGAATTTTGAATTACAGATGCTAAACAAGTTTTTAAATAAATTAAGATTACTAATTATATTTTAATACTAAACAAGAGTGTTGGTTAAGCTTTACATTTCAGTTTCTTACCCTTTAAAAAAAATGTATTTGATTGTAATTTGTAATGATGTTTATTAAACTATTGGTACTGATTGCGTTATGTTTATTGCATTTCTAAACACAATTATTGATGAATAGATATGAAATTTTTAAGTAGTAAAAATACAAAATCTATTACTCAAATAAATAAATTTGAAAATGTCTAAATAATGTAATCTTGTTGAATCGTTGATTTTATACACATGAATATTTTAACAAAACAATTAATTTATTATAATATTCATATTTTGTGTCCAACTGGGCTCTAGTTTATGGTATATTATGCAGTGTTAAATATGTTATATTATGATAACTTTATTTAGGTATCCAGAGGCAAGAGCTATTAATCGAAAAATTATATTCCATGCTGGTCCAACAAATAGTGGAAAAACATATCATGCTTTGGAAAAATACTTGTCATCCAATTCTGGAGTATACTGTGGTCCTTTAAAACTTCTGGCTACTGAAGTGTATCGCAAAGCWAATGAAAGAGTAAGATAACAAGATAAAATTTTATTTTATTTGGTAGTTTTAATTGGTATAATTACAATACATRTATTATTATATAAAAATATAATTCAATAATTTAATTTTTAGTTGAAAACTAATGAGTTAAATATCTTATACTTTTTAACTTGAATCCTCTTCAAAAAAGAAGAAATGTGTAAAAATATTTAATCGAAATTTTAAATAATAAAATTGATGTCCCTTTTATTTTAAGCTAAAATAATTTCAATATAAACAAC